AGTTGGACTATAAAGAAAGCTGAGCGCCAAACAATTGATGCTTTTGAACTGTGGTGTTGGAGAAGACTCTTGAGAGTCCCTTGGACTGCAAGGAGCTCAACCAGTCCATCCTAAAGGAGATCAGTCCTGGGTGTTCATTGGAAGGACTGATGTTGAAGCTGAATATTTTGGTCACCTGATGCAAAGAGCTGACTCATTTGAAAAGAACCGGATGTTGGGAAAGACTGAAGGCAGGAGGAGAAGGGGACGACAGAGGATAAGATGGTTAGATGGCATCACCAACTCAATGGACATGAGTTTGGGTAAACCCTGGACTCGCAGGGTGATGGACAGGGAGGCCTGGCGTGCTGCGGTTCATGGGGTTGCAAAGAGTCAGACAGGAATGAGCAACTGAACTGAACTGAACTTGTATTAATTAGATTAATGTCTATCCCCTTACTAGACTGCAATGAGTACACAGTATATTTATACTCACCAATGTTTCTGCAGTACCTAGCATAAAGCTTACAGAAACTAAGCACTCAATAATAAAAAATTTAAATGAATGATTTTACTCATAAGATATATATGTATTGACATTTAAAAATTCCAAGAACTTAATATATAATGGAACTGGTCAGTTACCCTAAAAGTGTCCTCTTAAACCTGAAAAGTGTGAAACGGTTAAAATTTTTAATATGTCACAGTTAGCTAAGGGCAATGTCTACAATGAAGACAAAATCCAGTAGCTTGTAGTTATTGGAAAATTAATCACAGAGTTGGAAAATGTAAAGGGTTGAAGATTTCTACCCTACAAACCCTTGCAACATTGTCTAGGACCACAGATACCAAATGATTTTAATTCTTTCCTTAATCAAAACAGTTTAGACAGAATGCTTTAAGGGAACAATCTTTCTGAGTGATTAAAGATGCCAAGTACTAATATAAAGCTAACCCACTATATATAAAACTCTAAAAATGTAAACATAAAAAAGCTAACAATATTGAATATTTACTGTCTGTTTGGGGTGGTACATGAACACTTATTAACTGTTTCAAATCAACTCTTACTGGATGAAACTGGAGCCCATTATACAGAATGAAGTAAGCCAGAAAGATAAACACCAATACAGTATACTAATGCATATATATGGAATTTTAAAAGATGGTAACGATAACCCTATATGCAAGACAGAAAAAGAGACACAGATGTACAGAACAGACTTTCAGACTCTGTGGGAGAAGGCAAGGGTGGGATGTTCTGAGAGAACAGCATTGAAACAAGTATACTATCAAGGGTGAAACAGATCACCAGCCCAGGCTGGATGCATGAGACAAGTGCTCGGGCCTGGTGCACTGGGAAGACCCAGAGGGATGGGATGGAGAGGGAGGTGGGAGGGGGGATCGGGATGGGGAACACATGTAAATCCATGGCTGATTCATGTCAATGTATGGCAAAAACCACTACAATATTGTAAAGTAATTAGCCTCCAACTAATAAAAATAAATGGAAAAAAAAAAAAAAACCAAAACAAATCAACTCTTACTATTATTGTCAATATTTTACAAGTGTGGGGTTAAGTAACTTGCTCAAGATCACAGAGGTTGTAAGTGCCAGAGTCAAGATTTCAATCTAGGCATTTTTTTCCCTCTACAGTTGGAGCTGTTAAGCCTAAGAGGTCAGTAGTTTACCTTTATTTATTTATTTTTTTTAGGCCATGCTGGCATCTTAGTTCCATGACCAGGGATTGAACACAAGTCCACTGCAGCGGAAGTGTGAAGTCATATCCACTGGACTGCCACACAAGTCCCAATTTCTTTCCTAATACCTGGGTAAATACTGATGAATTTTGAACAATAAAACTTGTTTCGTTATCTAGACTCTTTTTCTAACCCTGTAGTTGATTTCCTTACCTCTAATTTTGCCCTCCTTAAATCCATATTCCACACTGTAAAACATTTTCAACTGTTACCACATTGCTTAATCTTCAGTAGCCCTTATACAGACAAAGGTCAAAGCTACTCAGCATAGCACACAAGCTAAGATTCATGATCCAGCCTCCTGACCTCTCCAATCTCTTTTTCTTCTGTTCTCACCTAGACTTTAGAGTCTTAAGAGGTCCAGCCCTTAAGATCAGGACTTGTAGCGCCCAGTACATATTGCCCACTACTAGAACACTAACACTGTGCATTTTCAGAAATGCCTATTCATTTTGTTCCTTTTCCTAGAATGCCCCTTCTTCCCTGCATTCCTGTTTCACCTAAGCATCTTTCTGGGTTCCTATTTATTTTCTCAAGGAATTCTTTTCTGAAAACCCGGAGAAGTCCTTCTCCAACAGCATATAACCATACTTTATTTTCCAGGCAAGAACACTGGAGTGGTTTGCCATTTCCTACTCCAGGGGATCTTCCTGACCCAGGGATCCAACTTCCCTCTTCTGAGTCTCCTGCATTGGCAGGCAGATTCTTTACCACTCTTTTACCTGCGAAGCCCCTGTTTATAAGCCAGTAACCTTTAAATATTAAGATCCCTGAAAAGGGCTCTTTCTTTTGTTTGTCCCTTCCTCTATGTCCTCGCCGCCAGGCATTAACTGGCACGTGGTAAATCTTCAGTAAATTAACTTTTGAACTGAACTGGAAATCAGGAAATGCTGAGTTCCTGCCTCAGCTTGGCTCACTAACTGTAGTTTCAGACACTTTATGCTTACCTTATGCATCCATGCTGCTGCTGCTTAGTTGCTCAGTCGTGTCCGACTTTTCGCAACCCCATGGACTGCAGCCCGCCAGGCTCCTCTGTCCAAGAGGATTCGCCAAGCAAGAATAGTAGCGTGGGTTGTCCTGCCTTCCTCCAGGGGATCTTCCCAATGGAGGTATTAAACCCAGGTCTCTCGCATTGCCGGCAGATTCTTTGTAGTCTGAGCCACCAGGGAAGCCATATTCATCTATAAATAATCTAATTCTAAAGTTTCTTCAGATGAAAATTCTAAATAACTTTATTTTGCTCTAAATGTGACAGGACCTGTTATTGAAAAAGATTCTCTACATCAACTATAAAAAATTAACATCTGATTAAAAATTAGGTAACGTGAAAAAAGTTGAAAGAGGAACCACATCAAGGCGTTTTTCTTTTTTTGCAGTGCTACCTAGAAACATCGAAATTTGCCGTACTGGAGCTAACGATTTCTTCTAAGAAACTACCCTCTACCAGAGTGACTACATAAATTAAGGCAATTCCCTATAACATCTTGCTTATTAAAAATAAAATAATGATATGGGAGAAATGCTTAGAATGCTGAAGAAAAGATTACAGAGCTTTAATATACAATTAGATCTTATTTGGGTATATAACTAAGAGAGCTTCCCTACTGGCTCAGTGGTAAAGAATTAGCCTGCCAAGGCAGGAGATGCCGGTTCGATCCCTGGGCCGGGAAGATCCCCTGGAGAAGGAAATGGCAACCCACTCCAGTACTCTTGCCTGGGAAATCTCACGGACTGAGAAGCCTGGCGGGCTACAGTCCATGGGGTCGCAGAGTCAGAGACAACTCAACGCCTGAGCACACGCACAGACACACACATACAACTGGGAAGGAAATTCACCATTAAACACACCAATAGCCTCTTTCAAAATATTCCAAAATAGGATTCAGTGATAATCGCATGGTCACAATTCAAAAATCCTTAACTGAAGAAGTAACAGTATAGATTTATAATACCTAAATTAAGTGAGGGTTGGGGGCGGTGATTAAAGAAACTGTAATTTTGTCCACTGGTTAAACAGAACGTGTATTAGGCCTGAATTGTGAGATTTCCGGTACTTGCGCGCGTGGCTAAAAAGACATGGACGAATCATTAAACAAAGAGAAAACCCACCGACATCACCAGAGCTGGCCTCTTTCCCACCGGAGGAAAGGGGAGAGGGCGGGTAGTCAATTCCAGATCCCGCCTAACTTCTAGTCCCCAGCCCCTGGAAAGGAGCGCCTCGAGAGCCGGCGCGCAGCTGCCCGGCTTCCGGGCGGCCCTCGCCTCTTTAGCAGCCGGGCGGTCCCCAAAAAACTTTCTCAGCGGGTGAGAGGTGACGACGTGCAGTTAGGCTAAAGGAAGGAGGCTGGCTCAACATCTACACTTACTTGGTACTCGATCTCCAGCGAGGCCTTCAGGGGCATGGGCTGGTAGAAACACTCCTTCTGGCCCGCCGGAAGTGTGAACGTGAAGTCGCTGTCTAAGGAGGGAGTGAAGCCGGCCGCCCTAGGCAGCAGCAGAACGGCCAAGAGGACCACGGGGAAGGGTAGCCGGATCTTATCGCCCATCCCTGCCTGGGCGATCTCGGGCTGGGAAAGGCGTTGAGAGGCGTGGGTTATCGGCGCTTAAGCTCCGCTTTTCCTTCCAGGACTCCTCGTGGTTGGCAGGCAAACCAGGAGCCTGAAAAAGCTCCAGGTGAAGGCCTGGGCGGAGGGGCGTTTCTCAGAGAGGGAAACGCCTGTCTACGAAGCGTAAGGACTGAAGGCGGAGCCAGCAGTCCTTTTCCACACCCTTTCAGGCACCGCGCCAGCGCGGACCGCCTGACACCCAGACCTCCGCAGCTTCCCATTGCCGGCCTCACACCAATGGGCGTCGTGGTGGCAATTGTGGGAAATGTAGTTCCAGGTAGGCAGGCTCGGACGCGCTCCCAGACCACAATCCCCGACAAGCCCCGCGCGTCCGGCGTCGATTCACGCTAAGGCTGCGCGGGGGGCTGGGCTGCGGTTGGGGAGGTGCGTTCCCAACGGTTCCCGCGGCGGTTCGAACTCGGCTCTACCGGGATTCTCTGGTTTCCCATAGTGTGTCGCGTTCCGCGCTTGGGGCCGGGGAGAGGGTCGCAGGTTTCCGAACGCAAAGGAGAGCGCGGCGTGCGCTGTCGTCGGTGGGTCTCTCTCACAGCTACGACTCGTGGTGAGCGACTGCCCCTGAGGGTGGAAACTGGCCTACCTGAGGAGGTACAGGTCTTTCCCTCTCGGTTCCCTCAGATGCGTTTAATCCAGCCCTCGTCCTTGCTGCTCACGCTGCTCTGCAGGGTCGTATTTTAGTAGAAGAAAAATCGGGAAGGAAGTTGTTCATGTTTTCCTCCACTGCTTCCAGATGCACTAAGGACCAGTTCTGTCAAATTGAGCACTCTTGATACAGAACAGTGCTATATAAAGCCTTGAATGGCCTTCCAAAATGCGGAATCCTTGTCGACTACAGCCCATCTGTTTTACATACAGCGAGTATAATGAACACTTGTTCTTCGGTGTGATGTGTGTGCCTGTGTATACCTGCAAACGCATTGTAATTAAGGCCCAAAGATGTCAGGGCCTGTAAGAAGCATGATGTGCTTTTCCACGTATGTACAGGCGATGAAGCTAGACTTTTATAACTAAGTTGAAGGGAGGAGAAATCTTTATTTGAGGATATTAAATGGCCCACTAGGAAAATGAAAATATATTTGCATATCAAACGTTTTCATTGATCCTTTAGAAGGGTGAGAGAATTCTTGGGTTAAAATTTACATAAACCTGATTTAGTTGAAACAAAATGGCATGTTAGAATTTGCCCAAATTTTCTTTACCCTTCTTCAAGCCTTCACCATCCTGTAGGTAACTAGAGTTGTTAGAAAAAAATGGAGTGGGGACTAGAACCATTGACTTTTGTTTGGTAGTTTTCTCATTTAAGCAGAAACAAATTTTTGGAAGCAAAAGAGGAAAGAAATATTTTCTTTACTAAGATTTCACAGTATCTTTTATAATTTCGTGCCACAGTTTATTCCAGTAAGATGAAAGTTTTCTTTTTAATCTTCCTACATCTGAGAAATTTTGAGTGTGGAGTAAATTTGTTATTTTAGCTAGGTGAGGGGAAGGAAGGACAGTTTTGTAATCATCATTTAGTCACTGAAAATATTGGGTTACTATAAGTGCCTTACAGTCCTGACTATAATACATAGGACTCCTAACCTTTTGGGGGTTGAGATGTCGTCAGAATTCTAGAAGGGTGATCAAAGAGAAGCTTCAATGACAAAGGTAAACAGGATCTGAAAGAGGAATGTAATTTAAAGATTATTCAGGAAGATGGAGTAATAGAGATTATAAAGCTTTCATTTAAGTTGTATTATTAATAACATGTCTTAGTACACAATAATTATGAATATTAATTATTAGCAATAAAATGTATTTATCATGATTCTTTAATGTGCAAAGCTACTTAGTAGAGAATTTCACAACCCTTGAAATACCCATCAGTTGAAGAAACAAAAACTTTTCTTATTTATTTTTGTGAGTTAACCTGCTAAATGTCATTTTGATCTCTGTGGTTGTTATGGGAATGTTAGCATACCATTTTAAATTTTATCGCCATGGTGAATAGAAGGGGATAACCTTTATTTGGTAATAAATTACCTTTAGGAAGATATGAGTGTTATGATACCAATTTTGTCAGATGTTCGGAGCTTGTAACATGAACAAGTTCAAACACTTCATATTGAAATTAATTTATAATAAATAAGAAAACTGCAGTGTGACATAATTAAAAGATCTTTGCGTCATGATGGCCTAGGTTCAAATCCTGGTTCCACCATTTACAGTTTGTGTGACCTTTTAGTTATTTGGAGTAGGAAATGGCAGCCCACTCCAGTATTTCTTGTCTGGAAAATTCCACAAACAGAGGAACCTGGCGGCCTACAGTCCATGGGGTTGGAAAGAGTCAGACGTGATTGAGCATGTGCACATGCAAGCAAGTTATTTTGGCTCATTCTTAGTTTCTTCACCTTTAACATGAAATAAAAACAGTTTACACACTTGTTAGAAAGATTGAAGATGGTTAGAAAAGGGGAATTGTAATAAGTAGTCCCTGGCTTAAATGAAAAATTGATTCATTGAAATTTTATTGAACTTTCCATTATGGCTTTACACTACAGAGAAATTGATTATTGCTGGCTGTTTTGCTTTGTTATAAATTACCATGAAAGATTTCACAACATTTGAAATAGAAAAATAATAACTCAAGTTAAGATTTATTAGTGTGAGAGAATTTTGACTGACATCACAGATTCTTTCAGGCAAGGTACAAGAAATTCATTTCTTTCTTTAAGAAATGGAATCTAGTTCATCAGACTTCTATAATAAAGATAATGAAGAAGAAAGTTTGCTGGCAAATGTTGCTTCCTTAAGACATGAACTGAAGATAACAGAATGGAGTTTGCAGAGCTTAGGGGAAGAGTTGTCTAGGTGAGTGAGTAAAATTATGTATAGAATTCTGACTTAGGACTTTAACTGATGAATGTAAAACTTTTGAATATCATTATTGTTTGTTGTGTTTCTTGTGTGTCCAGATAGGGAATAATGCTCCATAATTTAAAAAATAATGATTTTGAATATAGCTTTCAGTTTAGAAAGAAGAACAGAACTATTATAGAAGTATTTATAAATTAAGACCGTTAATATATTAGGACTCAGTATAAAATATATGTGTAAGCTTAACTAATCTTTTATTATGACTGTTTTTTGAATCTTAAGTAACTCTAGCATAGAGGCTCCAGAAACATAGATTGCTAGTTTTAAAACTAATTATGGTTTATTGAAAATTTTATTGAAATGCCTCAAGTTCTTTTCTGGAATCTGATTTCCAGCAATATTTCAGGTGCTTATCTATTTTCTTACTTAATATGTAGAAATTTAGAGTAAATACTTAAAAGTATCCAAGAACTAAAATGTATTTTTTCTTTTTTTTTCTAGTGTTAGTCCAAGTGAAAATTCTGATTATGCTCCTAATCTCTCAAGGTCTGAAAGACTCATTTTGGAAGATCTTTCTCACCCTCGCCATCTCGGACTTTTGAATTGCTCATCTCATAAAAGAGTTTGTAAAATGCCCAATAGTGGTACTGATTTTCAAAAAAAGCCAGGAGATAAGGTTATCATTTTTAGACCTGCCTACTTTAAAGTAGTTTTAGACCTGTTTATTTAAAATACTTCTTCTCTGAGTTTTTTCTTCAAATGCCTAATTTATGTTTTCCATAGTTTTTTACTATAGTGCTAATAAAGACTCTTTGAATTTAAGTGGTCTATAAGAGAGTAGCTATTTTGATGTATTACTCTATTTTAAAACTTCTGTATTTATTTGCAATTAAATATCTTGTTTTCTCTGTAACCCCCTTGATTTTAGTACCATACCATGTATGTAATAGGTAGTCATGGCTTATTAAGTGGTTGAAGTATATTGCTGTTGAGCCTGGGTCAGGTGCTCCATTCATTATATCTAAATTTTGTGGATGATGTTAGACATCTGTCCTGGTCTGAAACTCACTCTTTCTTCCTCTTTTTTATTCACTTGTATTCTCTATCTTGCTATGTCTACTCCTCTTTCTTACTCAACCCTTTTATCTCCTTTTCCTCTATCTTCCTCCCATTTTTTATTACCCCACTGCCAGCATATGTATATATATATACATATGCATATGTATATGCGTATATACATATGGTTACATATATACATCATAAACTTTTTTGGTAGAAATTTGCTCTTCCCACTTAAGAAAGCTAGCAGTTGAGAGATTTTCTTTTAGTAAGGAAGCTGCTTGATGAAGCCATCTGAGCCTGCGTTTTAGAAAATGAATTCAAATTCCCTGTCTACAATTTTATGTAATTTTGAAAAATTTGATGTGTATCCTAATTCAAATTGCAGACTTTTTATTGTATATATGCCTTCATTGAAATCATTGTGTTTTACCCTAAGCAAAATCAAAAGTTACATGACAAATTGAAAGGGGAAAAGTATTGATAATGTCTATTAAAGACAAATGAAAGCTCTTTAATAATAAGAGCTCCTAGAAATAAGGAAAAATCATCAAACCAGTGGAAATACATGCAAAAGGCGTGAATGGGAAAGGAAATTAAAACAAATAAAAAGAGTTCAATCTCAGTCATAAAAAGAGAAATTCACTACCAGATTATTAAACATCCTGAGTTTGGCACTGTATTTTGTGGGTGATATTAGGGGGAAATAGGCATTCTCATGCATTGCTGGTAGAAATGCAAAGTGACATAATCTAAGTGGAGAGACATTTGGTAGTATTTACCAAAACCACAAATTTGTTTACCTTTAACTTGGAAATCTTATTTCTGGAAAGCTGCCTACAGAAGTATAAAATGAGGCCTTGTTTGTCATAACAAAAGACTAGAAATAGCTCAGTTGTCCAGTAATAGAGTATTGGTTGAATAAATATGCAATGAATACTGCAGTTAAGTGGTAAAAAGAAAAAAGGAGTTTCTCACTGAATTGATTGTGGAGAGTTTGCCAGGATGTATTGTTGAAGTGAAAAACCATATTTACTATTGTAGTTTTGCATAAGAGCTGTTGTGGGGGATGGGTAATTTGTATTGTTTGTGTATGTATAGGGAAGCACTAGAAGACTAAATTTAAGATCCTAAATTAATGACTCACCTATAGAAGGAGTTTCCTGTTTTTTGGCTGTCTAATTTGTGTTATACAAAAATTTATAAGTAAGAAGCTTGTAAAGATGGTTACCTATTTACTAAACATGGAAATGATACTTCTGTATGTATTCTTTTTTTATATAGTTCTGACTTTTGAATTATATAAATACATTACTTATTCAAAAAATAAAATTAAATCATGTTTTGGAAACCTCAACTAATGAAAATTAAAATACTTTATTATAAAATATATATTCAAAAAAGTATATTAGAAATATATGTACAGTTAACAGTGGCTCAGTAGTAAAGAATCTGCCTGCAATGCAGAAGCCACAGGAGACATGAGTTCCATCCTTGGGTTGGGAGGATCCCCTGGAGCAGGGCATGGCAACCCACTCTAGTATTCTTGCCTGGAGAATCCCATGTACAGAAGAGCCTGGCGGGTTACAGTTCATAGGGTCGCAAAGAGTAGGATTCAGCTGAAGTAACTGAGCATGCAAAGAATAATTTATCTATTTTGTTGTTTGTGGGCATTTCAGTTCTTACCATTTTTTATATAATCTTCAGGTACAAAAGTACAAAAGTTTCTGTCAGATTTATATGCAGGAGTAATACTGTTGAGTCTTAGCATGTTCAACTTTACTGGATGATACCAAGAAGTTTTCCAAAGTGCACCACTGTTTTACAAGCCAAATGTATTTACTTACTTGTTCACCATCTGCTGAGGAGAGAGTGCTGATTGTCTCACATATCTTCACCAGCACTAAGTATCTTCACCTATTTTTCTGAGCTACTTAGTCATTTTATTGATAATTGTTCATTGTATTATATATAATACTTAGTGAAGTAATTCAAAATAGATTATTCTTTTTCATTTTTCAGATGTCTTTTTCATCTTCTACCCCTGTGGATCAGGAAATCAGAAGTCTTCGAGAGAAACTTAATAAACTTAGGCAACAGAATGCCTGTTTAGTTTCACAGAATCATTCTTTAATGACTAAAATAGAATCTGTCCACTTTGAATTGACACAGTCAAGAGCAAAAGTATGTTTCTTGAAATGGTGACTATGCCAACAGAAAAGAATCATCTTAAGATTTGTAATTGGAAAAATATTCCTTGTATTACCTTAATGTGTTACATATAATGATTTTTATTGTGATAATATATCAACCTATTATAGAATCAATTTTATATGAATTTAATATTTGAAAATTATTTAGAGGAACTTGTATAATCTATGCATTTAGATAAGTCAGAGATTCTTAAAATTCTTAAGATTACCAATTTGTGTGGTTTTGCTTCTTGTACAAAGAAAATATATAGCTTACTTATCTTCCTCTTTAAAATAATACATCCTCATTGTTGAAAACTTCAAAAATAGAAAAAAGAAAAAGGAGAAAGATAACCCAGTTTCTACCATCTAGAAACTACTTTATTGGTTTATCATATAATTGAATATTACACATTTGAATAGTTTTGTTTTTTCCTGTGTTTTATACTTCTTATATAATCTAAGCATTTTTTGGTGCATTTGCTTAGCTTTTCCAACAACCATTTTTATGGTAGCATTAATGTTTTCTTATGTGAGTATACCATAACTTAATAACTCTCCTGTTTAAGTGATTTCCTTTATTTTTCAGTATGATTGATATTGTACAAAAAAATTAGAAGAAACAAAAGAGTTCGGTAATAGAGGCATGGTAAATGCATATATATACTTATATATATATGCATACAAATAATTAATTGCTACCAAGCTTACTTCTGTTACTTAAGGTAAAAGCATGTATCAGTGTATCAGTACTACAATATAGTAATATATCAGTACTAAAACATATCTGTATATGAGTACTAAAATGCACAGTTTTTGACTTTCATGGGACTTTGTAAAGTTTAGATGATATTTATAGAGGCACTTAGAGTGGTATCTGTACAGTCAGCGCTCAGAAACTTACCTGAAATATTTAGTGGCAGAAACAAACACCCAGTAACTAATCTGTTTTGTTTTTTATAAAATGAGCCTATTTGTCTATATGTTTATATTTTAGTACGTGTATATATATATATACATATAATGTATATAAGGAAAGAAAGGCTGTGCTATAACTCTGGGAACTATTAGAGCGTCATAGTGAGACTTTGACTATTTTTGAGACATAATTGTTTTAAGTAGTACAGTTATGGGAGGTCTTTATTTTTCTTTTGTTCTTTTCAAACAAAACAAAGTACACTATTGTGCTTAAGGAGAAAAATGCTGTAGTGAACATAAAACTTTTGGTGTTTGGGATTATTTCTGGGATCGATTTTCAGAATGGTCAAATCACATGGAAAGAGTTTTTTCAGGCATTTACTGCACTCTCTCTACATTCAATAGTCTACTGATTAAAAAAAAAAACTATACTTTTTAATTTCTTTGAGGCAAAAATATCTTGTTTTTCTTGATTTCTCATGAGATTTACCTTTTCAGTGCATTTACCATTTCTTTTGATGTGTCTGTTTATTATAATTTTTTAGTCCCCTATAGATTCTTTTTAAAGTAATAGAGGCTTAATTATTTGAAGTCTTAGAGATATTAAAAGAGTTTTACTAATAACTACTGAACTACTAACATTTTGTTCCTTTCTTTGAGCATATAAATACACCAATGGCAGTAAGATATTTATATTTTATGTACTTCTCAGTTTCTCTTTTTTGTAAGAACTGGGGTATTTTGGCTTATTGAATTTTATTTCATTTTGGCGATGCTGGATCTCCACTGGGGTGTCCTTTTCTTGTTTGAAGAGCGTGGGCTCAGTAGTTCTGGCGCTTGGGCTCTCCACGTGTGGCATGTGGGCTTAGTTGCCTCACAGCATGTGGAATCTTGGTTCCCCGATCAGAATTCGAACCTGTGTACCCTGCATTGGAAGGTAGATTCTTAACTACTGGATCACCAGGAAAGTCCCCCATCTCAGCATTTTCTCAATTGCTTAATAAAATATTTTTTAGGGAGGTTGCCTTTTCCAGGGCAGGTCTCAGCTTTGATGTTGCATATGTGCCACTTTTGGAAATCTTTTGCTGAAATTCCCCTTTGTACTGGACAACATATTCATAATTTACCTTTTAGCAAAGTCTGTATAGTAGTTATAGTTGTGGAGCTTGATGTCTTGTCCTTTCTGGGCTTATTACCCTTCAGGCCTGCTGTCCAGCGGTCTTCCTGGGACTTCTCTTTGATGTTCTTCCAGGTTGGGTCTACGGTTTCCTGGATCTCACATTGACTTTTTTGGTTTACTCTTTTTTTAGTTGAAGCATGTTTTCCAGTAGCTTCCTTGCCTGTTTGAAATGTCTTAATTTCTCCCCAACACTTGATTGAATTTTAGAATGAAAATTATTTTCCTTCAGAGGTTTTAGGACACTGCTTTCTTGTCTTATATCCTCTAGTGTGTGTCTGGAATGTTTAATTCCATGTGAATTACATTTCCTAGCATATAATAGGATTTCCCTGGTGGCTCAGATGGTATAGTGTCTGCCTACAATGCAGGAGATCCAGGTTCGGTCCCTGGGTCAGGAAGATCCTCTGGAAAAGGAAATGGAAACCCACTCCAGTACTCTTGCCTGGAAAACCCCATGAATGGAGAAGTGTGGTAGGCACATGGGGTTGCAAAGAGTATATTTTTCATTTGTTTTTCCATTTATGATAGCTTTTAGTATTTTCCTTCTTTCCACGGTGTTTTAAAATTTCATAGTGATTTATCTTTGAGTAGACCTTTGTTATTGTACTGGTTACGTAAAGATTCTTCTGGTTGAAATCTTGTGTCCTTTGGTCCCTGAAGTTTTTCTTACGTAATCTTGATTATTTCCTTCCCTTTGTTGTCTTTCTTCTGTCTTTCCTAACCTGGTTGGTCCTTTAAATCTTTGAAGTTTTTGCCTGGTATTTTCCATCTCTTTGTCTTCCTGTGATACTTTTTCAGAGATTTCCTCACCGTTGTCATCCTATTGAATCTTTTATTTTGGCTGTCATAATTTTTCATTTTCTAGAACTTTTCATGTTCTCTAATTGTTTTGTATTTGCAGTATCCTCTCATTGCTCTCTCAATGATTTGTGTGTGTGTGTGTATTTGCCTTGCTTCTGCCAGTTGGTTTTAACTTTTGTTTTGACCTCTCAGATGTTGGTGTTCTGGCTATTTGTATCTAAGAGAAGGCACTTAAATGCTGTTTGGAAACTCTCTGCAAAGTTGAGATTTGTTGTCCACTGAGCTTCATTTGTTGGTATTGGTTGAGGAGGTGGCTCTTTTGTTGGGAGCCATGTCCCTTCTCCCATTCAGTATCCATATATGAGGTCTTTTACTTTGAAGTTCTTGAGTTTCTGCAGCAAAGAATCCTTTGATTTCTTACCTGTGAGGTAGCCGCAGATGAGGTGGGATAGGAGGCTAGAAGCTGACTGTTCTGTATTGATCTCTTTGTTTTTTAACTCTACCTCATCTCTGCTCATCATTCCACAAGATGTTTCAAGAGTCCCAAATGTTTCCTGTTCAGTTTCTCCAGGTTAGTAAACTGTCTCTCTCTCTCCTTAAGTGGAAGGCTCTTGGTGACTGTTTTGACTCCTGGTGTTCTGAGCATGAGAAAAGGAGGGATTTATCAAAGAGATCTTGAACTATGTTCCTAGTTTTCTCTTCTAGATCTCACCCCTGTCTTGCGCTATATAACTCATGCTTCCGTTTTCTGGGGATATTTAGTGTTCTTTTCCAGACACCATTTAGGTTGTTGATTTCCGTCATCTTGCACACTTCATAGTCAAAGTCGTATTTTCTAGATTTTCTCTATAATCATGTTTTCTAAATTTAGACTTTAAAAAGAGTCAATAAGTATTTTTATGTAATTTTAAATGATTCGATCTTTGACATTTAATTTTCTGATTTATGTGAAATTAATCTTTTTAGTTAGTGTTGGTAGAGATTCTCTTTTATTTTCCCTAAGTAGTTAACCAGTTATCTTATGATACCAAGTTGAGGATAATGGGAGGATCTTACATGAGACTGGCTTGTGATGATGACATGCCCATATAAGTTGATAGACAAGATGAGTTTCATAATTGAAGGTTGATTGGGGAGTTCTATTGAATTTCCATCAGATGGTAAGAGAAACCAAGGAGCAAATAGGTTAATTTATTTTGTAAAGACAGTGCTCTGAAAGTTGTTTTTGTTTTAGGTTTCTATGCTTGAATCTGCTCAAAAACAGGCAGCCAATGTACCAATCTTAGAAGAACAGATTATAAATTTGGAAGCAGAAGTTTCAGCCCAAGATAAAGTTTTGAGGTAAGATTTACAGCTTTTTTTTTTTTTTTTAAAAAAAACACATTTCATTGATTAGAATGTAACATCATGTGAGTGTGTGAATCTCATCCATATTTTCACCTGGGAAGTTGCTAACAATGTCTGTTTTTATCATATGAAATCTCATGTTGTTGTTTAGTCGCTAAGTCCTGTCTGACTCTTTGCGACACCATGAACTATAACCCACCAGGCACCTCTGTCCATGGGATTTCCCAGGCAAGGGTACTGGAGTGTGTTGCTGTTTGCTTCCCCAGGGGATCTTCCCCACGCAGGGATCAAACCTGTGTTTCTTGCATTGCGGGTGGATTCTTGACCACTGAGCCACCTGAGAAGCCCACTTACAGCTTTCAAATACTTAGTTTCAACTTTTATTTTTGACATATCTTGTTAAATTTTGATTCCCCCCACCTCCCCCCTGCCGCCAGGCTTCCCTGGTGGCTTAGATGGTAAAGAGTCTGCCTGCAATGCAGGAGACCCGGGTTCAACCCCTGGATCAGGAAGATCCCTGGAGAAGGAAATGGCAACCCACTTCAGTATTCATGCCTGGAAAATCCCATGGACAGAGGAGCCTGGCAGGCTACACCCCATGGATTTGCAAAGAGTCAGACATGACTGAAGTGACTTAGCATGCACACACAGACTGTCTCAGAACTTGATGAATCTGTTTTCAATTTATCATAATTCTTCGCTGCAGGATACATGTAGTTGTATGGCAGCTAAAAAAGACTAAATCTAAGCTGAGATATTTAATTATATGTTTTCATTAATACGAACTAGTTTGCTTATTGTCCCATGTAGTTATGCTCGCTTCTTTGATGGGAATTCAAAGAAATACAAGGAATCAGGCACTTTATAATTTGTCTTCTTTTTCTGCTTTGAATACATGAGAAATACATGCATATTAAATTAAATATGCATATGCATTAAATAGCATATTGTTCCATTTTAGTGATTCTCAAAGATTAATTCTGGGACCAGCAGTATGAGCATAATCTGGAAACATGTAAGAAATGCAAATCTCGGTTCTGGTCTCAGACTTTCTGAATCACAGACTCTGGGAGTTGGGACCCAGCAGTCTATGTTTTAACAAGTCCTGTAGATGATTCTGATGCACACTAAAATCATCTCTCATGACCATCAGAATTTTGTAATTTTCTTAGTAATACATATATTATGTTTATTCCTAGGTATTTTATATTTTGGTTGTTGTGAATTTGTTCTTTTTTTTAAGCCATGTGGAAGTGAGATCTTAGTTCCCTGACCTGGGATTGAACTCAGGCCCTTGGGAATGAGAATGCAAAGTCCTAACCGCTGAACTGTCTGGCAATTCCCAATTTGTTCTCATTCTGTTCATTGATAGTATATAGGAAGGCTACTGCTTTTTGTATAATACTATAATTATTTTGTAATTGGACTATTTCTCATACCTTTAATAAATTCTGATTTTTATTTTCATTCTCCAGGGATTTTCCAGGTAGCTAATGATATTATCAGCGAAAAAAGAATTTTGTCTTTTCTTTTCTGAATTTTATACTTGGTACTTTTTCATTTTTGCTTTTTGCAGTGTCAGAAAAATCACTGGATATGGTGGTGATAATAGTCATCCTTATCTTCTGAAATATACCTAATGCTTCTAGGTATCATCAAATAGGATATCAGCTTTTATTTCAGATATATTTATCATTTGATGGCAGCATCCTTTTATTCCTTGCTAAACCTCATAGTACACTAGTGATGTATAAGCCTTTTCTCTGCCTCATGTTAAATATCTGTTTCTCTTAACTCAGTGATTTAAAATAATAGAATTCCTGATGTTGAACTGTTCTTGCATACCTGAAATAATCTCTTCAACAGCCTTTAAAAGTATCTTTATTTTATAGAGAGGCAGAAGATAAATTAGAGCAGAGTCAGAAAATGGTAATTGAAAAAGAACAGAGTTTGCAGAAGTCCCAAGAGGAATGTATAAGGTTGAAGGTGGACTTACTTGAACAAAGTAAACAAGGAAAGAGGTATGTGTTTTTAAAGGAAATAATTGTATTTCTAGGGGAAAAACAAAGAATATAGTACCTATTTAAAATTCTGCATAGTTTCTGAAGTAAAAAAAATTTCAGAAATTTGTTAGTGGAAAATTTAATGTTTTTTGTCCTTTAATTTTTAAAAATTTTTGATGAAAATTTTCATGAGTAGACTTTATATGTTATTGGCATTTTGAATTGGGATTAATTCATTAAAGCCTGATAATGATTATCAATGGAATGGCATTTACATATTTCTTAAATAAAATTCATAAGAAAGTGGTTTGGTCTTCCTTTAGAAATAGATAAGTAATGCAAAAATATCTATTTTGTATAAGCCATGTCTTTTTTTTAAAGCCGTATCTTAAGATAAAGTTTTCTAGATAACTGACCACATAATTATTAACTTTGAATGTTAATTAACTTTTAAACTAATAAAGATAAAAGCTTTTTAGTTTAATGAGATTTTACCATATAATGTCATTGTAACAGTTTTTACACAGGGTAAAATCATAATCTGCATTTTTATCATCTTTGGCAACAAAAATATGTTTTAAAATTTCATCCTGTGATATAAGTAATGTTATGAAGAAAGTGTTCTTGAAAAGTTGTCATAAATAGATAAATATTTGTTTGCATGTGCATTTAAACTTCTAAAAACTGCTCAAAACCTATCTATGTCATTTTTGCATTAAAATGAGTTTGGAATAATATTTTCTCAGCAGTGTTTGGTTAGTATAGTTCAAGTTACAGTATATATTTGGTAGGCATTATTACTCAGTGAAAATGTTTAGGTTTTGGAGTCAAACCAGCCTCAATGACCCTCAATGACTTTGTTACCTTGAAGAAACCATTTAACCTTCTTGAACCTCAGTTTGTTCATATTAAGTCAAGATGATATTGTCTTGATGTGAAGGATAAGTGAAAGAAGAACTGTAAGTTACTTCATAAATAATAAACACTAACCAATGTAGCTGTTGTAAATATAAACTATGTGGTCAGATATTCTGAAAGTCAGACTTTACTTACTCAGATGAACTTTTTGTATGTAGATATTTAACAAGATAATACATGAAGACTAGCCTTATAATATAGCTAAGAAAAAGTACAGAAAGAGTAACTAGTTCTCTGTAGAACTTAGATAGAGATGATTTTTTATGGAAGGGGATTTTTTTTGTTGTTTTTGGTTGTACTGGTTCTTCATTGCTCACACGGGCTTTCTCTTTTTGGAGAGAGGGGGCTGGCTGGCTGCTCTCTAGTTGTGGTGCATAAGCTTCTTATTGTGGTGCCTTCTCTTATTGTGGTGAACAGGCTTTGTGTGCATGGGCTTCAGTAATTGTGGCTCACAGGCCCAGGTACTCCCCAGCATGTGAAATCTTCCCGGACCAGGGAGCAGTCAAACCTGTGTCCCCACGTTGCAAGGCGGATTCTTATCCACTGGTGTACCGGGGAAGTCCAGGGTTAGGGTATTGACTTTGCTGTCATAAGGTGGATAAGTAGGGATGCATGCGTTCTGGACAACATGTGCAAAGGCAGAGAAATAAAAAAGAACATCTTTTCTAAAGAATGCTAGGAATTTTGTGTACTTATAAATGGACAGATATAGTAGGATGTAAGGAAAAAGACAGGCTTGATCCAAACTGTAAATGGCTTTGTGTTTTATGCCAAAGGATTTGTATTTTAACCTAGGGAGCATAAATCATCAATTCAGATTTTTAGGTAGAGATGTGATATGAAGACTCTTGGAACTTTTTGAAGAACTAGAATGAATATTGGCATTCTAAAGTTGAAATATCAAAACCTTTGCAAAGACTTTTGAGGATAGAGATTAATCATAATGGATTAAAAAGCCAGTATAAGGCAGAGATTGTTTAGCTTTATGCAGTTTATAAGAGATATACTTAAAACATAAAGACACAGAATAAGTAACAAGGTCCTGCTGTATAGGACAGGAAGCTATATTGAATATCCTGTGATTAAACCATAATGGAAAAGAATATGAAAAAAGAATATATATATGTATAACTGAGTCACTTTGCTGTATAGCAGAAATTAAATGCAACATTTTATATTTTTTAAAAAAACACATAGGGACACAGAAAAGGTGAATGCAAAGGGATGAAAATAAATATTTTAGGGAGAAAACAAAATAGTTATATTAGTATCACAGAATAGATTTAAGTGCAACAAGCATTACTAGAGTTAAAAAGAACTCTTTTGTATTTATATATACATATGTATATTTATGGAGAAAGAAATGGCACCCCACTCCAGGACTCTTGCTTGGAGAATCCCATGGATGGAGGAGCCTGGTAGGCTGCAGTCCATGGGGTTGCAAAGAGTCGGACACGACTGGGTGACTTCACTTCACTCACTTCATACTTTATCACTGGAGAAGGAAATGGCAACCCACTCTAGTATTCTTTTTTGTTTCCATTTACTTTTATTAGTTGGAGGCTAATTACTTTACAGTATTGTAGTGGCTTTTGCCATACATTGACATGAATCAGCCATGGATTTACATATATTCCCCATCCCAATCCCCCCTCCCAACTCTAGTATTCTTGCCTGGAGAGTCCCATGGACAGGAGCCTGGCTGGCCGTGGTCCATGGGGTCACAGAGAGTTGGACACGACTGAAGTGACTAAGCACGCACACACACGTGTGTGTGTGTGTGTGTGTATATATATATATATATATATATATATGTAATATTTAGATAACACTTTAGCAGGAAGCTGTAAAGATTCTAAACTTATATTTAATAATCTTGTCCCAAAGTACATAAAAAAAATAACAAAATTTCAAGTAGAAGTGAACAAATCTGTAATCACACAGGAAACACTTTTATGGATTTACTAGAATTGTTAGATTAAGCAACAAAAAAGTAAGAAGCTGAAGAGTTGAGTGACTGTTAATCTAATGGATGTATGTATGGAATCCTGTAGCCAACCATTTGAGAATGCACATTCTTTTAGACACTCCTAGGATATTTATACTTTGTTACCTTCTTCTGCCAGAAAACATGAATTTTAACAAAGATAAAAATATTTATGTCATACATATCATCCTCTCAGGCCATAGTATAACTAAGTTATGTATGACAGCCCTATGACCCACCATCGTCCTCCCTCCCTGAAAACCATGTAGTTTGAAAATGTAAAATCAGCCTTCTCACTACTCGTGGATCATTGAAGAAATTATGATGAAAGCTGGGAGACTTAGAACTGATATTAAAAATGTTTCATATTGCAGCTTGTGGGCTGTAGCCAAAGATATTCTTAAAAGAAAATTTTTAGTCTCCTGTGCATGTATTAAAATTAGTATATGAATGAACTAAAATATTCAATTTATATAGTCAGGAAAAGGACATAAAGCACATCAAAAGAAAAATAGAAGTATTTAAATAATAAAGGGTGAAATGGATAAATAGAAAACAATGAAACAAAAGAGAATCCCCAAAATCAGATGTTTTTTTTCCCTCAACAGTGACCAAGATGATGGGCATTATATAAAATTAATCCAGGAGAAAATTAATCCACAAAAACCAATATTGGAATTGAAAAGGATCCCCTAAATTACAGATTTAGCTGTGTTTTAAGAAATAAGACCAATACTGTGAACCGTTTCAGGATAATACATTTGAAAACTTAAACTAAATAAATGATTTTCCAACAGAATAAAGCTTAACAAAACTAACTTAAGAATAAATTGAAAACCTTAGTTTTTTAAGCATTAAAGGTATTGAATCAATTGTTAGAAATTTCCCCACAAGAAATAAAATTTTCAAAATGATGATGATGATTCTGTACATATGTGTTAGAATACGGTATTTATCTTTCTTTTTCTGACTCATTTCACTCTGTATAATAGGTTCTAGGTTCATCCACCTCATTAGAACTGACTCAGATGCATTCCTTTTTATGGCTGAGTAATATTCCATTGTGTATATGTACCACAACTTCTTTATCCATTCAGCTGTCAGTGGACATCTAGGTTGCTTCCATGTTCTAGCTATTGTAAATAGTGCTGCAGTGAACAATGGGATACATGTATCTCTTTCAATTTTGGTTTCCACAGGGTATATGCCCAGGAGTGGAGTTGCTGGGTCATATGGTAGTTTTATTCCTAGTGTTTTAAGGACTCTCCATACTGTCTTCCATAGTGGCTGTATCAATTTACATTCCCACCAACAGTGCAAGAGCATTCCCTTTTCTCCACACCCTCTTCAGCATTTATTGTTTGTAGACTTTTTGATGAGGGCCATTCTGACCGGTATGAGGTGATACCTCATTGTACTTTTGATTTGCATTTCTCTAATAACTAGCGATGTTGAGCATCTTTTTGTGTGTTTGTTAGCCATCTGTATTTCTTCTTTGGAGAAATGTCTGTTTAGGTCTTTTCCCCACTTTTTGATTAGGTTGTTTGTTTTTCTGGTATTGAGTTATATGGGCTGCTTGTATATTTTGAGAGTTAATCTTTTGTCAGTTGTTTCATTTGCTATTATTTTCTCCCATTCTGAAGGGTTTTCTTTTCACCTTGCTTATAGTTTCCTTTGCTGTGCAAAAGCTTTTTAAGTTTAATCAGGTCCCACTTGTTTACTTTTGTTTTTATTTCTATTACTCTAGGAGGTGGGTCATAGAGGATCTTGCTTTATGTCATTGAGTGTTCTGCCTGTGTTTTCCTCTAAGAGTTTTATAGTTTCTGGTCTTACATGTAAGTCTTTAATCCACCTTGAGTTTATCTTTGTGTGTGGTGTTAGGAAGTGTTCTAATTTCATTCTTTTACATGTAGCTGTCCAGTTCTCCCAGCAGCATTTATTGAAGAGGCTGTCTTTGCCCCATTGTATATTCTTGCCTCCTCTGTCAAAACTAAGGTACCCATAGATGCATGGGTTTATTTCTGGGCTTTCTATCTTGTTCCATTGGTCTGTATTTCTGGTTTTGTGCCAGTACCATACTGTCTTGATGACTGTAGCTTTGTCGTATAACCTG